GCAGAGCCTAGAAGAAGGGTGACCACCCCTCCCGGGTTGACCAGAACAGTCTTGGTGTGTGCCTATTGTCTCAGTGTCCCAACCACTTAGTGCGTGTTTTCACTATCTAAAGGGTCTCAGTTTGGATGATAAATCATGTGGTTCCCCTATAAGGAATTGGTATTCTTTATCTTGGGGAATCCTTCAGCATCGCTGATCACCTACAGGGCAGAAGCCCAAACTCCTTAGCATGTTATGAAGGCTTTGACTCACACTCAAAATTCCATCCGGCGCACCCACCATGCTATCACACCTGACCACTTCCAGCTCCTCAAAGGTGACAACCATTGCTCCTGCTATCGCCTAGCTTCTCCTCCACCTCCACCCTACAAGATGGCAAGCTCCTCCCCATGCATCAAGACTAGCTCAATTTTGCCTCCTCTAGGAAGCCCTCTCTTCCCTCTACTCAAGATCACTTCACCCATAACTCTACTAGCACGTGGACCTGACTGTTTGTTACAGCTCTTTCTTAGTCTCCTCTACTATACCCTAAGCTCCATAAAGAATGGATTTTACCTTATTCATCCTTTTATCCCTTAGCACACAATTAGCACTCAACAACATGTTTCCTGAACTAAAGTGGAAAGAGAAGTATGTAAAGATTTGCTAACAAGATACTGACCAAATTATCATCTATAAGAGCGAACAAGAAAACCATGGGCTTAAACCATCAGGCCCCCACCACTATCATCACCACCAGGAACAGTCTCTTGTATGGTATGCGGACAGTCAGTACCTGTGATGGAAGGTCATGGTCTACAACAACCCTACAGCTGAATTCCAGTTCTGCTGCTTAAGAAAAGTGATCTTGGACAAGTTACTTATGCTATCTTAACTCAGTTCCTTCATACAAAAGTTTATAACTTGACACCAACCTTCCTCGATGTCAAGTTATAAACAGTGCATGAAGAGTAGGGCCAAGTATTGACCGTGGGACAGAGAACATGGGAGGTAAGAGGTAATTTAGCTTCAGTGGTGATCATTTCCAGCCAGAACAGATCAAACTAGAAAATAGGGTCTCCCTCTTCTTCCCCAAAGAGAGAAGATCCACCTGAGTTTAGTTTGCTTTTTGTCCCTCACTCTCATCCTGGGCTCAGATGCAAAAACCTCCAACTGTAACGATTCTTTTCTCTTTCCAAATCCTGGCTTTCCTCTTTTCTAATCATCCCCAACAGAAGTGTCATCACAAGGAACAGAGCAGGAAAGGCAAGGACTTACAACTCAAGACAGACTGTGCTCAAATAAGGAAGAACATCTACTGCCACTCTGATTCAACCGTGGAACAGACTCAAAAGGAATTCTTGGTAAAATGTCAAGCAAGGAGAATTCAAGCCTGGGGAAGGTTACATGACTTCATGCTGGGACAATGAAGCTTCAAGTTAACTACACCTGGAACAAAACACTCCCTCAATCAGAAGCAGTCAGTTATTAGTGCTCCAACACCAAACAGTGGAAAAGGGCAGATGAAATGAGAGTCATGAGCTTCGTCATCAGAATCAAGAGAAGAAAAGGAATGCTCCCTCGAAGCTTTCTTCTACCCAGGAAACAAAGCCCAGGCAGCTAGGCAGCATCAACGGAAACAAATGGGATCACAATGTTTCAATTTAATAGCACAGTGCTGGTCAAACTTTATAACGAAACACAGCATGTGCTGGTAGTTGCTTTTATTATTGAGAGGCAAGATAGCATGGAGGTGAAAAACACATGGGCTCTGGAACCACTGCCTGAAATGAATTCCAGCTCTTGTATGTAACTAGCTGTGTGACCTTGGGCAACTTACCTAACTTTTCTGTGCCTCAGTTTTCAACTCTGGAAAACGAGGATAACAAATAGATAATGAATACACTATTCTCCATAGGGTTGCTATTCTAAGGTAGAGTAGTGCTGGGCACAGGATTAATGCTATGTAAGTGTTCGACAAATAAAAATAAATATTAAGATTCAGTACTCACTCAAAAGCAGCTTATATACAATCTTGTGCTTAAAAACCGCTACTGGTATTGCCATCACAAATCTCAAAGACACCTTTATTTTATGTTGACTCCTAGGAATTCGACTTGCTGACCAACAAATCCTTTTGTTGATCATGAGGACTGAACAGGTCTAAAACCCAGAGGTCACTTTGACATGGTGAAATGGAAACTGAAGGTTTTCTACAGTTAATCAAACTGTCATCGTCCCCAGAATAAACGAAAATAAACATATTATCTATTGAGCATCCATTGAGGCCAGTCACTTTCCAAGCCGTTGTATCTGATTGGAAGGCACAAAACGTGATAGGAGTGTGGCTAGCTTTGGCTCCTGCCACATGGCTGAATAAAGTGGTGTGAACTTAGAGAATTCACTGTAGCTCTCTCCGGTCCTCAGTTTTGAAGGCCCAAAAACTTGGTTTTGTCACCGCATCCATTTATTCAACAATTACTTAATGAGCACCTACTTCATGTCAGACACTATGAGAGGTATTGTGGAGGAAGTGGCCAGCACATCATTACAATCCCTGCTTGCCATCACAAAGCACACAATGTGGCAGAGAAGACAGATATTAAAAACCAAATGTGCACCAAAAAGACCCAATTGTCAATAAACTGGTTTACAATGAGAAGAGCTTCAAGTAGATTAGAATTCTTGTTCCTACAAGACCAACCCATCTCTTCCATGCAGTCATGACTACACAGAATTCAGGCGGTGGAGTACATTGTAGGAACGGCATTAGGCATCACCTTGACAAATGTCTGACTATTTAGGATTGTGAGTTCCCTATTCTAAACTTTCCAATCACCTGCCCCCTTCCCCTGCTCATTCTCCCTTTTTTGCTGCTTTTCTCACAAAGGCTACAGTCCATTTATTTAATTTCTCTTTCCTAGATTACAATCACATACACATCTTGCCTCACCAAATTTCTTCACCTGCTTATCACCCTGATTACAGTTTTCCATGTTCTAAAGTGTCTTCCACCACACATCTATAGATATAACACTATTTATTCCAGAGGTAGTTACAGGTATTCAATCTTTGTAGCATCTACTAGTTTAAGCCTCAGGGGGCAACATTAGTTCTGCTATTTTCAAGTTTGGGTTTGGTGTCAAGGGGCAAAAGGGCATTCACAGCAGATGTACACTGAAACTGTTGCCCCATAATCCCTCAAAATATTTCTCATATAACCTGCAAAGCAACCCAGTGAGGCACAACAGTTAATTTTATATGAATCGTGAAGCATACTGCACACCGGAATATGCTAGGCATTACACAAAGGTCAAAATTAAAACAAGAACTTGGCAGGTTCATAGTCCAAGTTCAGTAGTCATTTTCTGCTGATGGTTCCATGAACTATAAGCAGCACTTGGGTAACAGAAAAAGCACATCCCTATGAAAAGTTTCAACCAACATTCAGATCATCAGCAAATAAATATTTGAGTCAATACAGAAGTAAAACATCTGTTATTTAATTTCATACAAAAATAGCATCCGTGGTAAACTAAGATGTGTCCATCCATATCATGGAAAATATGTCTTTGTGGCACAGGTACGCTCAAGGTTTCTGTTGATAATTAAACATGTAGGGGGACCATTTTGTACTTCTACTAAACTTTGTTGGATGGAATAAGATAATCTCACATTGGAGGTGACGGGGGTCCAGTGGGGATACAAGCTAAGTGTGCCAGTTAGGGCTTCAGTTATGTCAGCAATCACAAGGCCTGTTGTTATTCTTATAGGTCTACAAGAGGGTCACAATCAGGATACCCAGAAATGATCTCCATGATGCATTCACTCTAACCAAAACAGATGGCACCGTCGCATCAACTCGCATGCTAATTTATTTAGTGATATTTAGGGCCCTCTCTCTTTCCACTGACTAAAATGAACATGACTCCCAGTTTCAGAGGAGCCACACAATCCCAGGTTGCATTCACTTAACACTGCTTCACAAATTGGAGCAAAGAGAATTAGAGAAACTTTCCACTGAATCTCCATGGCAAAAGATGAAATGCTAAAAGATTTTTAAAAGGATTTTTTAAATGTGATCAAACGTTAACCTGAAAATAGTCGGTGAAGAAAATGAAATTCAATAGCGTAATTATTTAAATAAATTCTCACTGGGTGAACTTTTAAAATAAGCACTCTAAGCTCCAAAGAAATGTTGTGTCTGTGCTTTTCATGGGTACATCTCCAGGGGTCAGCACAGGGCCTGGAGTTTACTAGGTGCTCTTTAACTATTTTCTGAGTACATAAATGAATAAATAAATATATTCCTCCTGATCATTACCATAAATTTTTCATCCAGGAAAAATAGTAGTTATTTAAAGGCAAAAGTTATTGGAGCGCACATAAAAGAATAAAATCCTGCTCTTCACCTTGAAATATGAATTAACTTCCACTACTATAAACACAAAATTAATGAAAAAAGTAAGTTTTCATCAAGATAACTCTCACAGAATGCTATTAATTTTGATTCATTTTGTGTGGGAAATATAAATCCTTAATATACTTACCTACATCTATGTAGTAACAATTACAAAATGTGAAAGATAACTTATTTAGAAATAGACTCCTAAAAATAACTTTATATGAAAGTGTCTTCATATTATAAAAAAGTACTTTCTAAATGGAAATCTGTAATAAAGAGACCACAAGGCAAAAGTTCCACAATTTGGGCTGCAAGGAAACCTTTCAAAAGCTGATATTTTCAATACTTGACAGCCAAACTCATCAATGACATCTTTCAGATCATCATTTATACATCACTGAGACATGTATTTCCCTAAAGCCAATTCTGTAATTGTACAAAGACTGGTATGCTAACTTTATCACAGACATTTGATATAAAGTCTCATCCCCTTGTAATTCCTACATATATACCTGGTAAATATTTATATTGTCACTTACCACTATCATAAACTAACATGGTATATATTAAGACATTGAGAATCCATAAAGTGAATTACAGTCAAGACAAAACTTACCAAGCACAATGACCACAGTCTTCAGAAGACTCATCATGGTATCCCGATTCCGCCGGGGTCCGGAACTATGCCGAGACATTCTCATAGTCCTCTGGCGAACATAGCCAAAGATATGAGCATAGAGAACCACCATTACAACAAAGGTCACCAAGTTGAAAATGGCCCAGAAAACTAAGTACGAGTCACTGTAGAGGGGTGCCATGTTGGAACAATTTTCAATATCACAGATGCAGTTCCAGCCCACACTGGGTATAGCACCCATGACAATGGCCATCGTCCAAATGACCACAATCACCACCACCACCCGCCGGTTGCTCATCCGCGTGTGGAGCTGCATGCGGAAAACCGTGATGTGCCTCTCGATTGCAATAGCCAGTAAGTTGGCCACAGATGCAGTCAGGCTAGTGTCAATGAGGCCCTGACGGAGGAGCCACGTGCTGACCGTCAGTCTCCGAGTGTTAGGTCCCGTGTTGAACATTAGGTAGAAGTAGGCCAACCCCGCAAAGAAGTCCGCAGCAGCCAGATTAGCCATTAAGTAATAAATAGGAAAATGGAAGCGGCGGTTGACATAGATTGCCACCATGACCAGTAGGTTGGCCAACATGATGAAGATACAGACGGTGATTCCAAGTCCCATCACCAGCTTGCTGACTGTGTTCCATTCTGTGGCAAGATACTTTCCACTCCGGTTATAAAAGAAGGCAATGGATTCATTGTAGAAGCACTGTGGTTCATTCATGGCTGTGAACTAAAGAAGGGAGGAAAGATGAGAAAAAAAAAAAAAAAGGAAGAAACCACAGATCCAAATATAAAGACATAGTATAGACAACACAAGATGTCTATGGTAAATGCGGCAAAAAAAAAAAAGCAAAGAATTTGAAAATCTGATCCTGCACAAGGTTCTATGATTGTTGAAACCCCAAGGTTTCTCACTGTATTACTGTCCTCAAGATTAAAGACAGTTGGAGTTAAATAAATGACAAGGTCTGTGCTTGGTGGCTGCATGTCATTGAAGTCTACTAGAAAAGCCACATGGCCCAGAAATCTTGCTTAAAATACATGAGACAGATGGGAACTGTGCAAAGCATTGCAACTGGAATATTTACTATAGTGAAATCTATTTTGACCTGTTATTTAGGGAATCTGTAAACATAGTTGGTTTATAGATAGGGTACTATTGCC